ATATTCATCCTTAAATTTTGACATAAGCTCTCATGAAGTTGATCAGGCTGGCCTTAAACTCACTCTGTAGCTCAGGCTGGCCTTGAAACTGCAACATCCTTCCTGCCCTAGCTTCCCAAACAGCTGGGATTGCAGAGCCTGTCACACTGCCCAGTGCTTCTTCACACACTTGCTTACAAAAAGCAAGAAGAGCAGAGCAAAGGTTCCTTGTTTTTTATTTGTTTGCTTTGGCTTTTTTATTGCCAGGTAGAAATGCTTTTGGTGGCAAGTAATTACAAACAAAATAGCCTGAGGTAGATAGATACTAACTCAAACAAGATTTTGTTTTTATTGGATAACCAAGAGATGGAGACAGCCCAGGAGGGCTGGTACAACCACTGTATGGTGTCACCAACATACCGAGTGCCTTCTGCCTTTCTTTGCTGCCATCCTTAGCCTGTGGGTTTGCCTCCACATGGCCGTAACTGATACAGCTCCAGGTACAAATATATGTTCGGGGGAGGGCACCGGTGAGAGATCATGAGCGTGCAAACGAGCCCAAGAGACCCGTTCTCCCAAGTGAAGTCTTTCCCTAGTGCTCTTCCTCATTCTCCCCAAAGACACACCATTAGCTAGACTTTCGTAAGGTGTCAGTCAGCTTGGACAGGGGTTCGGCTTTCTTACCGTCTATGACAAGAGTTCATAGAACATACCAGTCAAGAGTGCGGCACACGTGCTGGGCCATTCTTGGTGTTGCTCCTAAACTAACCATTTTGTCTTTTCACACAACAGGCCCCTGACACAGCAGCATGCCAACACCAACTGTCAGCTGGCTATGAAGTCTGCAGACTTTGAGGGGCTCTACCAGGAATGATAGGCCGTATGGAACCAGAGATTGCTTCCTAAGCATGCTGGGAAAGCTCTTCGCCTCTCTGCTTGGGTCATAGCTCAGAGAGAGGGCTGGATGCTTGCTCTGCTTCACCACTCACTGTGTCTAAACTGCAGTGGCTGGAGCCATCTCCCCAGCCCTCCCCAGCCCTTCCCAATCCCCAGTGTGCAGTCTTGACCTTAGCAGAGTCCCAGGCTTCTAGAACTGGGAAGCTTGACCACCAGGGCCACTGGGTTGAGTCCTAGGTTCCATTTGGGGTAAGGTCGCTTGTTTTTGAAGTTTAGTTTCATTTTATTGGGAGGGGGGAGGATGAAGAAGAACATTTTCTCCAGTCATTTGAAAGAAGAGGTAAAAGAAATAACCCAAAGAGAGTCAGCTCTCCTGCCTGTATTGCTTTTCTATCAGAAAGAGCAGCAACATCTGGGGATTGTGGGCTGACTTGAAAACAGTCTTAACCTTGCAGCTAGGAGTCCTTTAGTCTCAAGGCCTAGTTGCGGAGTGCCTTGATCGTCGGCATATTTGTACTTGATATGTTTATATTGTTTTTAAAAGAATTTGCCCTGTCAAGCCATTTCTTGACAAACAAACAAACCAAGCACATACTGAAGACTACAAAGCAAACAAACAAAAAAGTCTGTGTGGTTTCCTCTTTACAGTTATTAAATATTTATTTGGTTCTTGCTATGCCTTCTCTCCTACTCAATTCCGTATGTCAGACATGCATTAATTAGATGTTTGCTATCATGACAAAAGACCAGAGATAATTATCTTTATAAAGGAAAAACTGTGGCTCGCGGTTTAGAAGTTCCAGTACAGAGTTTATTAGACCTGTTGATTTGAACCCGTGATGGCTCAGTACATGCTGGGGTTCCTGATGAAGGCCTGCTCACCTCATGGTGGCTAGGGAGCAGAAAGAAGAGCCTGGGGTCCCAATATTTAAGGGCAGTCCCTAAGGACCTAACTTCCCATTGGGCCCCATTCTCTAATGGTTCCTTCTATCCTTTTAGCACCATGGTCTGGTGACTGAGGCTTTAACACATGGACCTCGGGGCAACATAAAACCGCAGCAATTTCTCTGTTGATTTCACAGCCCATCCTGTGTAATTTTGGGGCCCTGAGTTACTTTTCAGGTTGTTGTGGACAAATACCCAACAAGTTGCCGCGGTAGGGCGGAAAGGCTCATCTGGTTTACAGTTAATGGCGCTGCAGCCCATCCTGGGGGGGATGGAGTGGCTTCAAGTCACATTGCACATGTAGTCACGAAGCATTTAGAGGACTGGAAATTGAGCTCGGCTGAGAACCTCAGGGCCTGCCCCTGGCAAGTACCAGGAGCTGAACACCTGAGTCTATGGGGGACTTCTCACACTCAAACCACAGTACACAGCTTATTCAGTTGCTAGAGACAACACGCAACTCAAAGCTGTTTTCAAAGGGGTTGGAGTGATTTCACTCAACCAAAACCCAGTGGGCAGATCTTTGCTATTGTATTTGAGACAGGGCCTCGCTGTAGTCCAGGCTGGCTACAGGATCATGCATTGTGAAGATCTAAAACTCATTTGATTTCACCTCAATTTCCTTATTGTGCACCATTTTTTTTTCAGCAGGTTTATCCCACACAGCATTCTCTTCAGCTCTTTGTTGCACTTTGTACTCAACTAGAAAGTTGCTCTGTACATGCAAATTCCAGATTCGACTCTGATTGGATAGATCTGGGTCATGTGACCAACCTTGAACCAATCACAGTGGCCAATATAATAGCATCTGCTTAAATGGCATGTGTATTCATGCAAGAGCTGAGAGAACGCCTCCTAGATCACCACTTTGGTCCCACAGTTGGTGAGGTTGGCAAGAAGGAAGGAGACCCCAAAGGAATACCAGAAGAAAAGGAAGTTTGCTGGGAGAAATAGATGATGCCGCTGGCCCCAGTGGGACATAAAATTCTCAACTTTCCTGCATTCTATGCTTTCCAGCTTCACTTGACCCTAAAGAGAATCCATCCATTAGAGAACAAGAATTGCCAAGGCTATCAACACCATGAAGTAGTAGTAGAGGCAACTCTTTTTTTTTAAAAAAATAAGTAATAAATCACTTTATTAAAAGTAGGATTATTTAATACTTTCTGTAACCTGAATTCCCTATATAAAATGATCTGGAGTTTCTTTTTTTCTTTAATTTATTTCTTTATTAATTAATTAAAGATTTCTGTCTCTTCCCCACTGCCGCCTCCCCTTTCCCTCCCCCTCCCCCAATCAAGTCCCCCTCCCTCGTCAGCCCAAAGAGCAATCAGGGTTCCCTGCCCTGTGGGAAGTCCAAGGACCACCCACCTCCATCCAGGTCTAGTAAGGTGAGCATCCAAACTGCCTAGGCTCCCACGAAACCAATAGGTGCAGTAGGATCAAAAACCCATTGCCATTGTTCTTGTGGTCTCAGTAGTCCTCATTGTCTGCTATGTTCAGCGAGACCTGTTTTAACCCAGGCTTTTTCAGACCCAGGCCAGCTGGCCTTGGTGAGTTCTCGATAGGACATCCCCATTGTCTCAGTGTGTGGGTGCCCCCCTCGCGGTCCTGAGTTCCTTGCTCGTACTCTCTCTCCTGGTACTCCTGATTTGGACCTTGAGATTTCAGTCCAGGAGGCAACTCTTTATTGAAAAGCTCGTTACTTCATGCGAGGGTCTGTCCTGTGTTTCCTGCTGTCCAGCTAGTTGGGTTCCGAGACTTCAGTCTTGGCGAACACAGAGGTCCCTGGCCTTGCTCCCAAGATTTACTGTCTAATAGGGAATCAATTAACAGTTGTATTCGTGATTGATGTATTTATTACTGATCCACAATCTGCAACAACTAGTGGCATAAACGTGCATAGCAATATTAACAGGATTGGGTGGGGCTTCTGTGAGGTGTATCTGGGAAAGATTTAAATCCAAGTACAGTCACAGGTCACACACAGCTTCTTCATGGCTACAGACTGAGGCCCTAGTTAGTACACATGGTCACAGGTTATACACAGCTCCTTCATGGCTAGAGACTGAGGTCCTAGTTAGTACACATGGTCATGGATCACCTATAGTTTCTTCACGGCTACAGACTGAGGCCCCAGTTCTTTGCTTCATGTTCCTCTCCAGACAGCTAACAAAGTGGCACCCTCTGTCTTTAAAGCCACCGAGGAAGAGACTTGAAACGACTATTACGTTTTGAGTAATACAGCATGTATGCACAGTCACATGTATCTTGTAAGTCTTGGGAATGTTCCACCTGAGGGGGAAGGGGTCACACAAGGGCACAGGAGCCACAGACAGACCATGGGCTCCCCTAAACAGAAGAAAAGTGAAGAGTGATAAACACATGAGGACCACTGCAGTCATGGAGACTGGGGACAGCTCTGTGGTCGAAAGAATGGCACGCTGTGACTGCGGAGGAAGGTGTTCCTAGAGGAGGGACAATGGCCCCAATCTTGAAAACCAGAAGGGACTTAGTGTGGCTGGGCCTTGTGAGAAGGCACGTGGAGAAGGGGCAGAGGTCTACCCCAGAACCCAGGAGTGGGGTAATGCAGAATCTTCCATGGAAAAGAGACGTGGTCGAGCTTCGGGCTTTTTATTTCTCTTTCTTCCTTTCTATCTGCCTGCTGCCTACCTCCTTCCTCCTCCCTGTTTTCCTTCTCCTCTTTCGCTCCCTCTTTCATCACTTACTTCTTCTTTCTCCCCCCCCCTTCCTACTTCCTGACAAGGTACTGCTATAATGGACTCGGAACTCTATGTAGTGAAATCTGACTTCATACTCTAGCTCCTTCCGCCCCAGCCTCCCAAGGGTTTGGATTATAGGTATGTAATCTATGCCCAGATCAGATTGAGGATGCTTGTGGCTCACAACCAATGGGATGGGGGCAGACAGGCCACTTTAAGAGGTCTGCAGAGGCTGGGAACACAGCATGGTTGTGGCTTTGACTTACACTAGGTTGGAGGGGATGATGACATTTGTGGACATTTGTTGTATTGGTGTAGGTAGAGAGGGAAAGGGGAAGATGAAGGTGACCCCTAGATATTTAGCTTCAACCAGTGGGTGGTCAGTGATGCTATTTCTGGAGCTGGGGACTGTGTGGAAAAACCCGCAGCCTGAATTGCTATGAGTCCAGCTGTGTTCTCTGACACCAAGAGGATGTGTCAAGTAGATAGCTGGCTTGGAGCAGGGTCTCAGCTGGGACAGAAGATTTGGGGGTATTTGCAGTGCTTTGCGTAACCCTTCTGGGGAGGCCTTTCGGCTTCTGGGAAAGAGCTTTTCCAAACACACTTCTGATTACATAAACACTCTTGCTTCAAACTCAGCCAAGTGCAAAGTGCTTTCCCACGGCACTCAGAGGCCCTTCTATTCATGGGTAGACCAGTTGGTTTCCCTACCTATGTTCTTCTGCATCTGCTTCTAGATCGCCGAGAGGAAGCCCAGGCGTGGAGATGAAATGACTTGCTGAATTCATCTAGGGGGCATGACATTGAAGTAAGACTAGGACAATTGAGCCCCATGCCTCAGAAGCTACTGGCCTTTCACACACAGTCCAAAGTTTAGCTCACTGGGTAGGTAATCCACACCCGCACATCAACACTGCAGCTTTATGCAGTAATACATTTTGCTTCTTCTGTCCAGAAGGTTTTGTCTTGTTTACTTTTGAGCACTTGTTGTGTGCTGGATGCTGTCTTCAGTCTGTGCTTCTAGGCAATCCAAACTCTTGCCCATTTTAAAGGTGAGGCAGTGGACAGATTGAGAGCTTAAACCGCCCAAGGGCCATTTGGGAGGTGAGACTCAAACCCAGTTTGCTTGTTTGAAAAACTCACCCCTGTAAGTCGTATGTTGTTCAGTGCGAGTTCCTCTATCTGCTTCTGAGGCCTTCTGGGGTCAGCATTGTTCACGGGTAGGTGAGGTTCCCAGGCAGTACAGTACCTATGGCCTTTGCTGTTGCAGAGAACGACTCCCAGGTGTCATGCCGCAAACGTTCAGCTTCCCATGGAGTAGCACCTATAATAGCAGTGTGTGAAACACCAAATCCTTGTGGCTTCTCTTGAAGCCATGAGGGACGGGAGTTCCTGTGATAATTGGATGCAGGAGCTTCCAACCACACCTGAAAATGTTAAAAACAAACAAACAAAAAACCAAAGGGGGAAAAATCAGAAGGGAATGAACTCCAGTTGTGTCTCCTCCTCCCCCCAAAAGTTTGCTTTTGAGCCACTAGAGGGAGCCAACATCCAGGCCAACTGAAGCCTGCGGGCCAGAGACAGCAGCGCAGAGAGCAAGAGTCAGAAACTTGCATCGTATCTGTCTTTGAGCCTGGCAGACAAGACTTGAGCTTTGGCATTGCCTCCAGCTTCCAGATAAGACTTTCCATCACACACACCCTAAGCAGCCAGGTAATAGGCATCTTCTCCAAAAACTATCGTCAACGGCAAATCTGAGGCCCAGAGAGGACAACAGCTTACCCAGAGTCATGCTGCGAGTCTGAAATAGCCGGTCTTGAACCCAGAACTCCCGTATCCAGCATTGACTTCATGGGCATGTTTCCTACATCCTGAATTCGGGGACGATGACTCCTACGTGTGGGCAAGAAGCAAGAAACTGCAATATTGTCAGCTCTGAACCAAGGTTCTTCTCATAGTTGCTCCCTGGATTCAACCAACTACAAATGAAGAATATTTGAACAACAAA